TGCAGACCTCGGGGACTGCAAGCCATGCAAGCCCGCAGCCTACTTGGAACCTACATGTTGGGATATTCCCCCTTTTCCTCACAGTCCTTAATGGGGATTATAGTAGGGGGTACGATAATCCCAATTGAGGAGATGTTAGAATAAGGGGGAACATCCCAACCTATATGCTAATGAAGACTTCGTGCAGGTGATATCTTTCTCCTGTCCATTCAAGCCTCGCTTCAGTGTTCCACGTCGTCGGAGCCGGGACGACAACCCTAAACCCTAAACCTCACACAACAAAGCGTCAACCCTCCTGGTTCAGCATTCAGAGCCTTTTCAGTCCAAGAGACACCCTGTACGTTTTGGAATTAGAGTCCTCCCCGGATACCTCCCCACAGGTGGATCCCGTTCCCCACCTTGCTTGTTCGACGCCTGGGTGTGGTGTTGTGTCTTGCATCCCCACACGCCCCTCCCGTAGATAGTTTCGTAGTCCTTGTGCCCTGTGCTTCAAATCGAACTCCAATGATCAAGGGGGCCACCTAGTTGTACCGTGCATGGTTGCAAACTACGAGCATGCTCAAAGCTTTTGTGTTTAGGGCCTAAAACAGTGGAATGCGCTTGAATAACTCTATGCAGGTTGGTTGGATTGTTTTCCTTCACCCTAACACTAAGCCCTACGAAGCCCTCAGACCCTAATGTTGCGTCGCCTTTGTTATCCTAAGGCTCCAAAGGGCTGGACGGCCGGTCTTGTACCCGAAGCCCCAAACAATTATGTTTACGAGGGTTTGTAGGGTTCAGACGTGTAGAAGACAAAGTTCAACTTCCCAGCAGATTCACCAACGGGCCAGGACATAGCCCCACAGGCTCGAGCGCGTGTGACCTTATACTTTATCCAGAGAAAAGCCAATTGCATGTCGTCCCGTAGCGAAAGGCAGATTCATGACCTTAAGCCCTCAGCCCTACACCCACCCTAAACCTATACCCTAACCCTCAACCCTAAACCCTGAACCCTAAACCCTAAACCCTAAACCCTAAACCCTAAACCCTAAACCCTAAACCCTAAACCCTAAACCCTAACCCTAAACCCCAAACCTGAGGGGGTGGAGCTCCCTCAGCTCTGGCTCCATGTGCACCGCCACCTGCCACACAACTGCGTGCAGGTCGGAAATTAAGCACACGAGGTGGCTGCCCTTTGGAGGATCTTGGAGGATAGGTCTCCCAATACTCCCTGCATACCCCCTATGCAGGCCTAAAGCCTTGCACTTTGCTGTGAGGGTGGTGTCGTAGCTCTTGTAGGTTAAGGGCTCGCCATCAGAACTCAGAAGCCTGCCTCCGCGGAGTTCCGCGACGTTCCAACGAGCTTGGCAGCCCTGCTTGCGTTGTTGGTGCTTGGAATCGCATCCGTGAGTGTTCTTCCAAGCCCTTAGACACAGGCTATTCGCTGTAAACCCCAAACCCTGACCTGATACAAAATGTTTGAGTCAGGGGGCTGAGGGTTTCGCATGTTGGTAGTCCGCCTCAGGGGGGATGCTTAAGCCTTGTTTCGGGGTTTAGAGTTTAGGGTTTAGGATTCGCTTCTGCTTCAGAGGGCGCCTCGTTCGGCCCAGCAGTGTATCAGAGACCCAGCATTTCTGGGGCGAAATGGATCCCTGAAGGGAGATGTGTCATGCACGCTAAGGCTAGCCTCTAAAGCCCCCTTCTGGTTGATTCAAGTGAGCAAGCAGGTGCCAAGTCTTGTTTTTCCTCCAGTCCAGGCAAGTTCCGGATCGGATCTCGATGACACAGCCTGTCAGGCTCACGTCCACGGTGGCAGTTCACGAAGCAACCGGTGGCCATGTAAGGACCATCACCATGGCATTCCCTAAACCCCAAACCCTTGAGCCGCTTCTGCCCAAAGCCTTCGATGCCAGCCGGGTGGAATCATGTAAGTCGGACGCCCTCATCTTGAGGTCAAAAAAAGAGCCCAAGAAGGGGGTCCATCGCATGAAGCCATCATCTGGACGTGAACTTGGGCCGGCATACAGAGAGCTTCTTTATGAAAGCCGTGCAAAGCGTGCATGTCTGAAGATTTCAATATGCCGAGTCCTAGAATTCTATTGAATTCTAAGCGCCATGTGCGCAATGTAGAATAGGCCTATGGGCTGTAAACATAGAACGTGTTCCTGATGCATGAAAATTCGAAAAGGGGATCCCAAATCAAGGACAAAAAGACAAACCCTGATATGGTTGTCACGCACGCAAGGCACGCTAAGTACTCTCGGCTCTGGCAAGCATTGCATGGCCCTCAGAGCAAACAGGTATGAGTATTGAATTCTCACGAGTGTGATTGCAAGTCTTTCATCAACCTGAATTCGTCGAATTTCATTGATATTCAAGTTCGTGTTGTCCATCTTCTACGAGTGCGATCTTCGCAGAAGGGGCCTACTGGCAAGTGCTTGATGATTTCCAGTCAGTTCCTGCCATGATTCCATACTCATGAGAGTGAGAAGAAGTGTGCAGAGAGCTTGTGTCAGCATCCCGGAACCTGCAAAGTGCTGTCTACAGCCGGCTGCTGAGCACCGTGGATGGGTGGCGAGCACTTCAGCTTGGCCCCCCTTCCCGCTTCCGTAGCCAGGAAATTCCACGAAGCTTCCAAAGTTGACAAGTCACTGTCAAGGGCTGGCACCTCGGACGCCATGATCAGGGACTCTGATGGACTCTGGCCGCGGCTCTTCCAGTCTCCCTCCAGGTTGAAGACATTTTTGGAGGTGAGACCTCAGCGGTTAGGGCGATGCCGCTCCGCTCGGTAGGACATGTGAAAGATTCTTAAAGTTTGGCAAGGAGTCCGATGTAGCGAAGGTTTTGAAATCAATTTGTGGAATCAAGCTGCTTGAGCGAGTGAAAGTCGCAAGGGAGCAGGAGCCATGCGCCACTGTACATGAGTCCGAATGGGGCCTCCATTCGGATTCTCGTCGGAAATCAGATTCATGCTGCGAATGCAAAATATCCGGTTGTGCTTCCACCTGCTGAGTCCCCCGAGTCTTGCCCCAAGCATCCCTAAACCCTAAACCCTAAACCCTAAACTCTAAACCCTAAACCCTAAACCCTAAACCCTAAACCCTAAACCCTGAACCCTGAACCCTAAACCCTAAACCCTAAACCATGCTGCTGCATGGCCTAGTGGGTCTACAGGCTGCCTCTGCGGCGTCGGAGGTCGAAACTGCACAAGCCACGCTGCCAGATTCAGCGCCTGAAAATCAGGAGGGGTGTCCCTAGCTTCAATGTTTGTCGATGTCTAGCCGGCCTTGCTTTCCGTGGCAGAGTCGGCACGGAGTTGTTTGTAGACCTTCGCAGACAGAGCATGCAGCTTTCAAAATCACGTAGTGGGGTTGGTGTGTCACCACGAGTCAAGCTGATGTCATGGCAGATGTCGGTGCAGAGGCGACTAATTAACCCAACACCCTGAAGCCCTAAACTCGGCAGTCGCCGCTTTTTGTGAGCCCCCCCCCCCAGCTCGTTCAATCACAATTTTTCTGTGGGACGTATTTGCACGGGCTGTGCCATTTTTGCCTCCCTTTTTTTTTTTTCTCTCTCTCTCGCTCTCTCTCGCTCTCTCTCTCTCTCTTTGCAATCTCTACTGCCTAAACGAATTTACAAATTTTATGGTGTAATGTTAATGTTTGATTTAAATCATTACGACGACGATAACGATTACATAAAACACTTCACATCCTCCCGAAACCCTTGTAGCCCTAAACTTAAAGAACCCCAAACCCGAAGCCCCTCACCCTCCGGCCCTCAACCCTATAAGCCCTGCAAACGCAAACCCCTCAATCTCTCAATAAATCCTAAGTTTTGCAAGATTCAAGTTTTAAACCCTTAAACCTAAACCTCTCGAATGAGAGGGATTTAAGCAGAGACAGAGAGAGCGAGAGCGAGAGCGAGAGCGAGCGCTAGAGAGTTCGAAAACGCAACCCTTTGAAGCCCGAGGTCTGGGGCCCCAAGGCTTTGGCCCGCCCTTCCCCAGAAGCATCCAAAAGCCCATCGTCCCAAACCTTCGGATGCATGCACCCAACGACTGCACCCTCAAGCCCAGTCTCATCCGATTTAAGGAAATGGTGAGAGCTTTGTGTGTTCCTCCACCCGGGGCTCTCATTGGGCACTCAACGGCAGGTAAAGACATCTGGGATGCTCGCAGGGTTTTCGGGTTTTTGGGGCGATGTTTGATGTTTCAGATGCCTTCAAGCCTCAATTGCTGCACCGGGCTCAAGCACCAAGACGGTGCAACAGCCATGCCCCGATCCTTGAACCACTGAGGTTCGGGGCACGTGAAGCACCTGGCCCAGGGCTTTTTTCTGCAAGTTGTCTCGATCTGCATCGTTAGACACAGAACAAGGCCAAGGATCCCACAACGTTCATTTTCACACCGCTCCATAAGACATCGGAAGCCTTCTCTGGAAAGTTGCTTGAGCAAACAGCAAGCAGACAGCAAGCAAACGGCAAGCAAACCAAACAGCAAGCAAACTGTAAGCAAACTGTAAGCAAACACGAACATGCGAAGCACAAGGCCTAGGAAACCACATCCCGAACACCAAGCCCAGCCTTAACCTTCGGCTTAGCACCTACTCCTTCTGGTAGTGAAGCACCTTACATCTGCGCACGTGTGCGAAGAACCTCGCCTGGGCCTGAGATGGCTGATTGCACGAGCAGGGTTGAGTTCAAAATTGGGCCGTGAACTCCGAGTCGTGCCGAATCCGCTTGAGCTTGAGCAGCATCAAATGTTGGGCTACTGGCAGAATCAGCCACTGAGTTGACGCTGGGGCCTGCAGCCCTAGCAGGATTCTGGGGCACAAAGGTTTCCTTTGCCTGGTCGTGCTGAGAACATTTGGCACTTTGAGGTTCTAGTTGCAAGCTTCAAGGGAAAGAGCTGCCACAGCACCCCAATGAAATACCGTTGTGATACATCTGATACATCTAAGCCTGTAGGACTTGTCAGTCCGGCCCCAAAGCCCCGAACCTCGAACCTCGAGGCACTCATTATGGAGCGACAGCGGGCACCAATCCGGCGACCACACTGCAATGGTTGCCCAACAAGCTGATGTAAAGCTTTTAGATGTGCACATGTGGCAAGTGTTAGCATTGCGTTGTTCGGTATGGTGCAGCATGACACTTTCATCAGATATGCCATGTGGACGCAAGGTGTTGGCTTCTTGGTATACTTTCGCATGACCATATGAAGTAGGGTATATATTCTTGTACCCCCAAAAGGACACCCGGTATATGCACTGACCAATATTGAAAAGGAACCCTATATACACTCACCAATAACAGTAATATAAACCCTACTTCCTACGTGTCTACACCTTGCCAAATGCACCAGCCATGTGAAGCTGAGGGCCCAAGATTCCATGCCCCTGCTCATCGCGGGGCGCACCTCCCTGCGGCTGGTAGCACGCTTGGGGCTCTCCAATTTTCAGCTGCTGCAGGCTGGGTTCTGAATTCGCTTCAGTCAAAAACTGCCCCCCTTTCGACGGAGCCCTACCACTGTCGTAGACAAATTGAAGCTTTTGGGGGCTGCAAAAATTGTGACAAGTGACAAGGCGCGTGGGAACTTTGTGGCCCACCAAATGAGCACCCCGACCCTGGGCATGGACAAGAAATTAGACATGAGCAACTTCGCGATCAAGCTTCTGAGGGAAGGCTTGTGCCTTGTCATCACCTGGGAACAGCCTCCCAGACCACCCCGACTCTGACTGACTGCGAGAACGCTGAAATTTCGAGGTGTTCCCTGAAGGGGATATTGAAACGCGGGCAGGCACGCGACGACACTTCCCGAAGACGCGTCCGGCGAAGACACGTGCCGTCACGAAGACACATGGGAATTTACGAAAAACACGGCCCAAATAGCAGGGTGCCCTTGTAATAAACCCCAATAAGGGCCCCCTAATATCGGAAACCCCCACATGCGTGGGCGACGAGACAGCAATTACACTTTGTGGCGCTCCACATCGGTCAGCAGTATCTAAGCCTTGCAAGACGCCAGCTCCGCCGTCATTCAGGATCTCGGTCTTCTATCGCAATCAAGGGCACAGCATGTACAAGTGCCGGAGCGGTATCGGGAGACCGAAGGGTTCTGTTGGAGGAATCTGGCGAATTCAGGTCCATTGGGCACCGACCAGGCTGCTCAGTGATCGCAGTTGGCACTGCGCCACAACGCCAATTTTGTCGAACGAAGCGATGCTTGGGACCCGAGATCCTCATAATGAACCACGATGCTAGTACTACCAGCAGCCTGCCCTGCAGGGCCTTCTGGCCGTGGTATTTCTTCTCCACGCAGCCGATGGCGCCATGCTCCCCGGCATTTTCAAGGACTGGGCTTCAGTGGAGACTCCCTTTGGGGTTTCCGTGCATTCTATACTGACACGATTGGACAGCCGATAGGGGACCCAGTTGTGAATCTTGCAGGCGCAAGACCGATGGTCGGGCAACAAAAGGGGGGTCGAGTCGACTGTTCCAAGTGCCTTGGGAGTAAATATACTAGTGTACTCCAATAGAAACAGATCCATAAGTAAACAAACTAAACACGTGTATGCATATATATATATATATATAGTACATGCGTGGCACCGCCCTGTAGCATGCCAGCTAAAACCTGTCTGAAGCATGAATCCCTCGTTGTGTACACTTGCCAGGCGTTGGAGGAGGGTCTACAAGACGCCACTCCAGTCTCCTGACAACGAGATTTGGGGATCGGAGCTTGAAATTTGAAGTGCTGCGACTTCGAGGGTCCTTGAAAGTTGTTGTGTGACGGCTCAATATAGGTGGATAAGTACGAACGCCCAACACATTCGTGTTCTGAAATGGCGACGAAGCAGCGGACGTTCTGACATGACGTGACATGACATGACATGGCATTCCTGTGCCCTGAATAAGACAACTCACCAGCACCACCCCTAAGTTCTTCACAGCATGTCTGCATGAAAAGCAGCGTGCAAGAACCACCCGCGTGTGATTTTGAGGAGAAGCTTATCCGACAAGACAAGTGGGAAGCACTGCCCCCAATGCTTGAGAAGTAGATAGGCGTTCCTCCGAGAGACCGCCTAGCATGTGGAGAGGAAACGCTTATCCTTAACATCAAATCGAAAGAGCGGCCCCATGAGATTCGGAGAACAGACTCTCCTCACACGAATCCCCGGCGTTTCTCCTTTGCTCATCGGCTTGGTGTCTTCTCCGTTTTTTTGCCTCCTGTCTTCATTTTATGGTGGCGAAAAGGGGTTGAAAATGTAAAGAAAAGCTTCAGCCGCAGCAGCTCAGGGGCGCTGGTTTCGGGTGCTCTCATGGCAGTCGGTCCTCAGAGTCCCCAGATCAGTTGCTGGACCGAGGTGACCTTGGGGCCGTGCATGTGCGTGAGGTCCTAGGTTCAGCATGGCCAGAATCAAAGAAAACACGAATCAAAGAAACCCTAAACCCTAAACCCTGAACCCTGAACCCTAAACCCTAAACCCTAAACCCTGAAACCCTGAAACCCTGAAACCTAAACCCTAAGGTCTCCCTTGGTGGCATTGTCTTCATCGAAGCTTTGTGCCACAGCTTTGCTGTTCTCGCACCTTGGCTTGAGTAGAAAAACAAACCACCTCTGGCGACAGGCAGGTGATGAGTTTGAATACGAAAACAGCAACTCCTGGCAACAGGCAGGTGATGAGTCCTTGTGCTGCCTGCTCTTCCACACACCTCTGCGCACAATGCGGGATATCCAGCAACCTCAGCCTCTGAGGTCTGGGGTGTCCTGGCGGACAGATACTGCAAGTTGACGCTTCTGATGTACGCGCTCCATGGCTCCTTTAAAGGCTTGGCCGTTTCGCAGCTTCGGGCCGGAAGTGTTCTTCCGAGATGGGATTGAGAGGGTGCCAGGCGAAACCAAAAAATTCTTATTGATCCCAAATTCGGCAGAGCTCGAGATGTGAGATTTGACCTTTATGAGAAGCAGCACACTGCGCCTGTGCCAGAGGATGGTCGTGGTTCTCATTTGAGGATACATACATGGGTTTTGTCCCAAGCTCGCTTACCCGACGAACTTCTCGGCTCCCGACGGCCACGATGTTTCATTGACTGGAGGCATTTGTTGACATACCCGACGCATCTCATCTTCGAACCCTACTCACTGATTTCCGCGCATCTCTGGCGCCAAAAACACGTAAGCCCTAGCCGTTCCCTCTGCTCGTCGACCTCATGTCGACTGGAGCTCATTCTACCTGTGCCCCTGTTTTCGCTCATGCACCTTCATTCACTCATTGCTTCCTGTCTGACAAGAACTTTCGGCTATCGTCTATTCCGATATCCAAGATTGGAAATTTCATCCGATCGTCTCGGAGAAAGCGTGCAGACTCGTGCCTTCGTCGTGGAGGCAGTTGGACAAGAAGGTATCGCTTGTGTTTGCAAAGGCTTGGCACTTGTCTTGTTCGAGCGTTTGTTGTCGTGTAGATCAGTTGTGGTCAAGGTGACAACCCCTAGCGAGTCAACGACTTAGACTCTTCGATTGATGGTTTGACTTGCTTGCTGATCCGTGACCATTTTGGCGCTCGCCTTCGAAGTTTTCTCCGCCACCCACCCACCCACTCTCGGATTTTCCTTCATTTTTAGCCTACAGTCGGGCGGGGAAGCAGGCGGTCCTCCCAAAAATTCGGATATCGCGTTTAGGGTATCCAAGATTGGAAATGATATCCGATCGTTGTGTGAGGAGGCAATTGGAAAAAGGTTTTTTGCTTGCGACTGTAAAGGCTTTGCACTTGTCTTGTTCCACCGTTCGTTGTCACTGGTACTATTGGTACTACTACTACTACTACTACTACTACTACTACTACTACTACTACTACTACTACTACTACTACTACTACTACTACTACTACTACTACTACTACTACTACTACTACTACTACTACTACTACTACTACTACTACTACTACTACTACTACTACTACTACTACTACTACTACTACTACTACTACTACTACTACTACTACTACTACTACTACTACTACTACTACTACTACTACTACTACTACTACTACTACTACTACTACTACTACTACTACTACTACTACTACTACTACGCCCCAACCGGGTGGTTTGCCCACACACAGTGGTCAAGCATGGGTTTGGACAAGCATGCTTGAATCAGCTCTTGCCGCAGCATGTCAGCATGAACCATGTGGCACCCAACAGCCCAAAGCCTAAACCTTAAACTCCAGAAGTTCTTGGTCCTATTTCATAGCTCAGGATTTCGCAGACGACTCGTCTTGTGGCCACTACACTACTGACGCAGTCCCGTGCTTGTTGGGTCGCGCGGCCACAGGTCCGCGGTCTGCAGAGACGGACACGGCTTTGGCATACGGGAAGCGGGGCGCAGACGCTGGGCAGCTCGCTGAGGAGGCTTTCTTTCTGCCTCCGAAGCAGGTGGCCAGCGTCTGCGCCCCGCTTCCCGTATGCCAGGGCCGTGTCCGCCTCTGCAGACCGCGGACCTGTGGCCCCGCGACCCAAGAAGCACGGGACTGCGTCAGTAGTGTAGTGGCCACAAGACGAGTCGTCTGCGAAATCCTGAGCTATGAAATAGGACCAAGAACTTCTGGAGTTTAAGGTTTAGGCTTTGGCTGTTCGTTGCCCACAAGCAGAAGACGCGGGCAAACCGTAAACTGTCTTACGCCTCAACCCTGAACCCACGCCCGAAAGCAGTGTTATTTCCTTGAAGCCCAGGACGACAAAACACCGAAGCCCTCGTGCTGGACTCGTGCCTGAAACACTCCAAACCCCAAACCGTAAGACGCGCGCGCGGGCAAACCATAGGGTTCTGCGAAGTCCGGAACGCAGGGAAACCCGCAGAGGGTCGTCGTTTATGAAGAAAAAAAACGAAAAAAAGAACTCTGTTGAAAGGCCGGCAAAGGCCAGAAACGCTGCGCCTGCGCATGTTTTATGTACCTTCCAAAAACAAGCGCGGGCAAACCATAGGGTTGCACCGTACTACTACTACTACTACCCCTTCTGCTTCTGCTTCTTCTTCTTCTTCTTCTTCTTCTTCTTCTGCTTCTGCTTCTGCTACTGCTACCGCTACTGCTGCTACGCGGAAGCTGTCGAAAAACGGCCCAGCATCGCTGTGTATTTTGCCCGGGCCAGCGCTTTCCCGACCCCGATACTATCTGATACGACTGCTTTATGTAAACCGGTTCATGGTTGGATATAGAAAGCTGTTGAGAGTAGGAAAAGACTGCCTTCTACTGTTAATGAAGATCATTTCGAAAATGAAAGTTTGTTATGTGTAGCCCAATGACAGGCACATCGTCACCTTGCAAGGATAAGTTGTTTTGGGCAGCCAAAAGTCTTCGTTGCCTTATGGTTCGGGAGTCTTCGCGTTTTCCGCACAAGGTTGAAGTAGCACGTGTTTGGTGGTGACCTTCGGCCCCAACTTTGGACATGACAAACGAGTCGGTCATATTGCTTTCGCCATCTTTGTAGCTAGCTCTCCATTTGTTGAACAGCTTACCAAGCCACCTCTGCCAACCTTTGAGCTGAAATTACTGTGAGTTTTTTGAAGTGAGCTGAATTAATTTGAAATCCGTCAAGAATACGTCTCACGTAGGGTGGTATCTATGGGTATATGCCACAATGCCAAGTTGCAGCAGCCACCAACTTGGCCCCCCAGATCTCATACCAGAGAATCAAAGAGCTGGACGGCCTAAGTTCAGCTATAACTCCGTCATTGCATTCCTAGCTAAGGACCCTGGTCGGTGCCCCAGCAACCTCGTCCATGCTCCAGGAGTTTCAGGGAGGGGGATTTCTGTCGAAGTCCCGCTGCGGTGATTTTTCTACCTCGCTAGTGTTCCCCAAAGTAATATTTTTGCCAGACAGTACGTATGTGCTGCGTTTAGAGCCCTCGACTAATGTGCCGGTAATGTGCCCCCACCTGCTCTGGACAATCCCAGCTTTCACGCCGCTGGCTTTCCTAGCCCGTTCGAAAGTTCATGTTTAGGGTTTAGGGTTTAGGGTTTAGGGTTTAGGGTTTAGGGTTTAGGGTTTAGGGTTTAGGGTTTAGAGTACTTCAAACGAAGCAACGCGTCGCCAAGTCTTGGGGCCTGGTGACTGCGGCGACCTCCTTCGTCATGAGCGTGCGCGTGCTCTGCGTGGTTCGTGCACTGGCAGGCCGGGATCTGCTATCTGCGCAAGGTGTTGTAGGAATCAAGGGGTTCAATGTAGACAAGTTATCAGAAGACATACTTGGGGTCGAGAAAGTGAAGGCATCACCCTCACCTGCACAACAGTTGCAGCACCATCTGCTGCTGCACCATCTATGAGCATCGAACAACGTCCACCGGGCCTCCAAGGTCAGTCCGGGAAGTAGTTTCGGGGCTAGCCTTGACTCCTTACTTTTCACGAGATATTAAAAAAAAACATGACACCAAAGGGTTGGGGATTTGGAACACTTGGAGCATGTGGACCTGGGATTGGCAGCCCGCGTTGCAGGCATCACCGGTGCTGCAATTGGCCCTTTGCAGGGGCCTTCAGCATGTAAGACAAGAGGACAGCTGTCTGTGTGTGTGTGTGTGTGTGTGTGTGTGTGTGTGTGTGTGTTTTCCCTTTTCACCGTCCTGTCGCGTCCTGTCTCAGGTCTCAGGGCCTTATTGGCGCCGTCTGCCCGCCATCCGACCGAGGTGTTCGGCGCAGTAGATTCAGTGTCTTGGGTCATCGTGGGTCGTCGATGGTCATCGTTTCCCTTCGGCAGGGGGTATGTACGACAGTACTCTTTATGTTCTTTGAGACTGCTGACTCAGCAGTGACGAAGTCGCAGAGGGCCGAGCCGTAGGAGACCGTAGGGGATGGTGCCAAGACCCCTGCGAGGCCGAGCCTTTGGTTGGCTCATCGCCTGCGGTCAAAGCGGCTTTATGCTCGGGGCTTCGAGCCCAGATCTGTTGGCGCATGCTTTTTGCGCGCGCGCGGCGTGCGTTGGACATGTGGTGCCAGACTTGGGGGTGTTTCATAAGGTGCTGCTGGCTGGGGCCACAAGCCATTTGAAGGCGCCTTGGTCCACTGTGCCAACTGTCAGAATCACCTTCTCGTGAATCCATGCAGGCCATCCACGGCTGGCGGGGTACATTCCTCATCTTCGGGCTGCTCACGCTACCCGGTTCTGCATCAAGCCACCGAAGTCTCATACTGAACTGAAAACAGATCTCGCATATCCGAAGTAGTACCAGAAGGCCCCCCAAGTCTGTTGGAGGCTTCTGTTGACCTGGATCCTGTCCATGGCCAGAATGGAGGTGGCGTCAGAGACCCAGATTGAGGGTGGGAGGAGTGGGAGCATCTGCTTCACAACTCCAAACTCCCAGCAAGACCCCAGTATTCCACTTCAGATGTTCGAACCCTGAAGCCCTTTCCAGAGAGGGTACCGTGCAGAGGCGAGGAATTGTCCAAAGTAGATATGTTTGCTGCTTTGCTTGGGGTTTGACTCTTTTGGCGTGTTGGCGTAGCCTTCACCTCGAACAGACCAACTTCGTGACACCTGTTATGCCTTGCCCGTTTGTGCTGTTATGCCCTCCGCGTTTGTGCTCATTCCGTTGTCCCATGGAGAAGTCTGGTACCCTAGCGCCTTTGGCCCGTGGTCTGCACCTACCATAGGAGCAGTTCACCTGCTGCGTTGTGGCTACAAGCCTAAACCCTAAACCCTAAACCCTAAACCCTAAACCCTAAACCCTAAGCCCTAAGCCCTAAACCCTAAACCCTAAACCCTAAACCCTAAACCCTAAACCCTAAACCCTAAACCCTAAACCCTAAACCCTAAACCCTAAACCCCAATCTCTGGGTTTGCTCGTTCCAACAGCTGCTCTCGAAGCCTAGGTGCTGAACCCCAGACCTGACCCACCTTGTTTTTTGATGCAGTGGTTTCGCCGAGGATCTGTCTGTACAGTGCGCAACAAAGACTTGTAACATTTGTATCCTGCAAAAAGCCACGACCAAAGCCAAATCAGCTCTATCCCAACCAAGCCCATGAAACAACGTCTGTATCTGAAGCCGGCTATGCGCCAAGATATCCCAAGATCCAAATCCTTTCACCTAACTTCCCTAAACCCTAAACCCGAAACCCTAAACCCTAAACCCTAAACCCAAAACCCAAAACCCAAAACCCTAAACCCTAAACCCTAAACCCTAAACCCTAAATTAAACCCCAAATTAAACCCTAAATTCAACCCTAAATTAAACCCTAAACCCTAAACCCTAAACCCTAAACCCTAAACCCTAAACCCTAAACCCTAAACCCTAAACCCTAAACCTTAAACCCTAAACCCTAAATCCTGAAAATGTTCTCAGGCGTGGCCTGTTCCAGGAGTCACGGACCTGGGCCCAGCTCAGTGCGGCCAAGAAGCAGGCACCGGCTGGGTGTTTGGGCATCTTAAGAAGGCGGGGGGGCTGTTTAGGGTTTAGGGTTTTGGGTTTAGGGTGCATGTTGGGCCATAGCTGGTTAGGATGCAGGTGAGAATTCTCAGGTTTCCGGGTAAGGTTCGGCCAAGGGCTTCTGGTGCCCCAGGGTTCCTGCACATGGGACGACAGCAAGATGTCGCCAGGGCACTCCGTCCGGAGAGCCCCTGAACGACATCTGGAAGGAGGGCCGCGCCTGAATGTCTTTGCAGGGGAGGGCTTTGCTCTCCTGGCTTTGAACGAAAGAGAGTTTAGGCAGGTGGCGTATGCCAACCCTTTTTAGAATGAGTTTGAAAATGTCCGAAGGCAAACCTTTGAGAATGCAAGCGAACCGTTCAAGGGCCTCCTTCGATTACTGTCAGAAGTTTCTGCGTCTGGGCTGCTGTATCCGGTGTGCTGAAGTTCACTGAAGTAATGTCCTGGTGGTGGCAAGTATGTGAAAGGACACCGGATTTCTGCATTTGTTGCGTCTGGTCCGCGAGAGAAGGACTTTATGTTCATGCTGCGTCGATCCTCCTTCTGGGTGCTGCAACTTGGACACAACTCCCTTGCAGCAACACGGTCCCCCTCAGTCGAGAAGCCTCCGGCGGTTCGTCTTCGAGGGTCTTCCTTGGTGTGAGGCCTTGGGTAGTGAGGTTTGATGAGCTCTCTGTGCATCAAGCAATGCTGCAAGCTGCAGAAGCAAGAACATGTTATCTGGGCCCTGGGCTTAAACCACCCTAAACCCTAAACCCTAAACCCGAAACCCTAAACCCTAAACCCTAAACCCTAAACCCTAAACCTTAAACCCTAAACCCTAAACCCTAAACCCTAAACCCTAAACCCTAAACCCTAAATGCTGGTGTGAACCAGCAGGCTGAGCAGAAGGAACTAGTGGAGTGATCAATTCCCTAGCCCCATTCCCAACCATGGCTCACACAATCGGCGGAGATCTTTTACGCGCAGAAGCAACAGATCAACAAAGGAACAAAAAAGGTCTCTGCAGTGTAGGGCTACGGCTCCTACAGTATGATATGTACATGTTTAAATATGTGGCATGCTCAAGGCTTGAGTTTGGGCCTAGAAGCCACAAGGAAAAATGCGCACTGCAATTGACTACAGAATGACATGTACAGGAGTAGACTTCAACACTCCTCCTTCGCAACACCGCTAGGGTATTGCGACAAACAAAACCTGTACATGTCCATCCCTTCCGGGAGGAGGTACGGGCTCCTACCGAAGGAAAGGCTGTAGCTGGCCGGCTGGCCTCAGAGTGCGAGGGCTCTCACGGCACCTCTTTGCAAAAGAAATGCACTGCTGGCAGGGCTGTGCAATGGGGCGCACAACCTACCCGTCAGGGCGGTGGATGCCCTAACGTGTGCTATGCTTCGTGCAGTCTGCCTGGCTCCTGTGGCACTGCTGGCAGACCTCAAACTCGATGAACCTGTGTGAATGGGCAAGTGTAGAACAGGCTTTAGTGCGATGAAGCTTGTTGCCATCTGGCATTGCAAAGAAACGAGTTGGTGCTTCATCGGCCTGCCTAGTGGAAGCTGGCGCATTCCTCCCGGAAGCGGTCGCAAGACGCTGTGAGGAACTGGCCGCTGCCTCCCTCTCAGAGATTTCTGCCCGGATTGCTTGCTCCGTGCGTTCCCTAAGACGCTGCAACTTGCGTGCCTTGCGCGGGCTTAGCAACACACTGCTTGTGCCAAAGGCCCTGCGGGACAAGAGGGCAAAACTCCACTTCAGAAACTCCCACAAAACAATGGCACAAAACGCAACACCGAAAATGCACACTGCAAGCATCAGGTCGGCGTCCAAGGGAACTGGGAGCGACAGGTCTTCGGGCTCTTCGTCCTCTTGACTGGCAACGCCTATAACCTGCGCAAATGCTAGCAAAACCGCCAGCGCTCGCAAATGCTGATCGGTCTGAGTGACAGTGCCAGCTTCCGCTGCACGGGGCTCTGCAAAAAGAGACCTCACCTGTGGAGTGGACTGGGCGCTGTACTCAAGCAAGCCCCATATCGCTAAGAGCTCACTGATCCTTGCAGATGGGAGTGCCTTGGTGAGAAGGTCAGCGGCTTGCTCTACACCTGGGCAGTAAACGGGAATGATCTCGCCAGTCTCATACTGCTCCCTGAGATAATTGGCGCGCACCCTCAGGTGGCTTGGCCAATGGCGATGGCAAGCGCAGACTGTGAGTCAACCCTCAAGGTCTTACCTAAGTTAACGACCCCAAACTCACCCAGCATGGCCTCTGCAGATTGCAGCGCAACGACAGCATCAAGTCCTGCGACAAGCTCGGACTCTGCAGTGCTGAGTGTGACAAACGCCTGCCTGGCCGAACGCCAGCAGACAGGCGATCCGTGCAAGAAGACTACCCAGCCGGTGTGCGAGCGGTTACCGTCTGGCGCAAAAGAGGCATCGCTGTATGCCACTAGGCCTGTGTCATCTGCGTCAGCAGTGAGAGCAAAGGCTTTGGTTTGCTGCACATAGGCGAGTGCTCTTTCAGCGATGCGTGCAGCCCTTTCAGGCGCCTTTGTGCTCAACGTAGCAAGAACACAAGCGGTGAACGCGAGATCCGGTCTCGTGCGCTGGCTCAGCCACAAGATTTCTCCGGTCAGCCTCTGGGCTGTGCGAACTGACTCCTCGGCGGGGGACTCATCCGTCAGGAGAGTGTCGAAGGACACTAAGTCTCTTCGGCAAGGGTTCTTACCCAGCGCAGTGGGCTTGACGTTGTTGAGGCGTAGCAGCTCCTCTGCGTAGGCCGAACAAACCCTAAACCCTGCACTAGGATCTCCGCCCTAAAAACCTCAGTGGCTGACTGGGCGACACAAGTGTGAGGGGGGTTGTTTTCCAGATCGACTGGATGGCCTTGGCGAGGGCCTCGATGACTTCAACACAGCCAGCGAGTAGGAAGTCATCAACGTAGGTGATTAAACCTCCCACGACTTGCCCATCAATTGTTTGCACGATGCGCCGCCAGTTCGTGTCTAACTTGCCCTTGAGTAGCTGCAACTCAACTCCGTTGACCACGCATCTAAGCCAGAAGCTGGGAATCCCTAAAGTCTGACCACAGCTTTGGCGACTCCCTGAGGCCATAGACGGCGTGTGTGAGGATCCAGAGCTCTCCCTCCTGTGCAAGACCTTGTCGCACAAGGTAGCGTGGCGGTGTTAGAGCGAACACAGGAAACCCTTCGCCCTGAGGGATGGGCGTCAGGAGGAATGCTGAGGTGACATCTAAGATGCCTAGCATCCAACGCCTCTTAGAGCTAATGACGACCAAACAACGAAGTGACTCTGCTGCAGCGCCTGACGCGTAGATTTCAGTGCCAGTGGAAGGGGCATGGTTTCCACACGCAACAAGCCTCGCCTTGCGTTTAAACAAGCTTGGCTGAGCTGCGTGCTCCCCGTTCCCGGGCGCGATAGCTTGCGCATCAGGCGGTTTGACTGTGAAAACCATCTTGGCCGGTACGACCCTCACGTCAGTGCGGTGAAGCCAGTTCCCTTTTCGCACCTCACCAGGCGGCAAACGGCGCACAGCCTTTTCTATGACCCCGATCTCTTTGTGGACTGACGGGAGCCACACCTCACTGTGCTTTTCCGCCTCTCGCGGGTCAACAGTGTGAACTATCTGCAGTGGCTCAGTTAGACCACTTAGCAACTGCTCAATGTCCGGGGTGTACACTGGCTCGGACTTGCAAAGACGCGGGTCCAGGTCGTCAGACCGGAGTGCACACAGCCACTCACCCGTCTGTGGGTTTGGAAAGGAGAATTCCCACTGCACGGGCTGCTCTGGCCAAGGCTCCTCCTCGACCTGTGTGGAGGGTTGTGGCTCCAGGGTCTGCAAAGCGCAGAATAGGTTCCATGACCTTCCAACCCCCACCCTTGTCTACTTTCTGCGCTTCCCTTGAGCTGTCTTCACTTGCGAGCTCTAAGGGGCCCTCCTCGAACATGTCAAACACGTCTATGTGCCTTACATCTTGCTGCGTCGTGAGCGGTAAGCGCGCTGAGGCAGGGAGCGGAAAGCCTAAGGACTCCAGGGCTTGAGGCTCAGACTCTGGGACTTTCCCTAAGGTGTTTACAGTGTATGCTACGAGCACAACCCTTTCACCTTCAAAAGGAGTGGTTGCATGACGGCGTTTGGGGTCAAGGTAGAAGGGCTTGCCTCTCTGCAGGCTGTGCGTTGCGCCCAACCACTTCTTTCCTGCACCGTCAACTCTTTGCTCAACAGGTCCGTGGAGCACATCTCCTGCTCGCAGTTCTACCCACAAGTCTCCTCCTTCAGGAGGGAGCTTGAGCGGAAGGACTACGTTAACAGACCCTTCTACGTTGTTATGGTCTGCATGCAGGGACATGGGGTTAGTGTTAGAGAGCCAAAGACTTGTGAACTCGGCCTCTGGGCTTGCAGACAGAAGCGTCGCGGCCATGAGCTCTGTGAGCCAAGGGTGGGAGTTTGTAACGCTTGTGGTGCCTACTACACCACCATGTCGGTAAAGGCCGGCCTTAAGGGACTGCAGACGGCTGAACTGGACCAAGACCCACATGGCCTCTTCGAGGTCCCAGTCTTCAAGCAGCAACTCCTTGGCAAAACCCTCAAGGTCCACAGCACTAAACCGACTAGCCCTAAATTCCTCCTCAACGGCTTCACCCACTACACCTAAACCTTCAGGCAAGGCTTGCTCAGGCGGACACTCACCGTCAGGTAGTGGTGACAACCGGGACTCACGAACTGCGAGGCTTGACTTCTCACGGAGTCGGACGCGACGTGGAGGTAAGGCAGGTTCCGGCGCACGCTCACCTTCCGGCGGCGGAACGGGCGGCGGCGGCAAGGGTGCCTCGCCAGCTGCTGGCGCAGACTTCCCACGCACACGCCTTGCTGGCTCGAGCGGCGCGGGCTCCCTCACATCGCCCTCATACACACGGTCGGGCATTTCTGGCGAGTGGAGGCGTGAGCGTACGTGGAGGGTTTGGAAAAAGCCGTTCCCCACTCCATCATTGCGTAGGACGACGTGGCCATCATTGACAGAAGGCGACAAACCCATGTACTTGCCCTCTACCCACCTATCCCCTAAGTCAGCCCTAGAAGGTCCGTAAAACTTGAGCTTCACGGAACACGGCGCCCCAAACGGCGCGGCAAGCTTAGACTTGAAGCCTAGCTGTTGCGCTCGTTGCTGCGATGCTGCCGTGGCCATTGCACAAGCCCAGTGCTCCGTTCCAACCTCGGCCTGTGCCAGAAGCGTGCGTGCCCTAGCCTTTAGCCAACGGATAGTGTTTTCGGCTGCTCCGTTCTGCTGCGGCGTGTCTCCTTCCCCAGTTGTGGTGCGCACGCCATGCTCATGGAACCAAGCACGGGTCCTTTTGTTAAAGAACTCCCGACTTCTGTCCGAGTGGAAACGCAACACAGGAAGGTTCAACGAGCGCAGTTCCAGGAACACTTGTTGCAGTGCTTCTAGCACCGCTTCACTCTTGTTCGTGTGTAACGGAACAACAAACACCAACCTAGCTAAACCGGGCGGAGCTTCAAAGTCACACTTAGCGTGCTCCCAAGG